GTTACCACGTGTTTTTAAGTAAATACCAGTTACTTGAAATGATCGATTTGTTGACAAGCAATACTGGCGAATGTCTCACTGCTTTCGAATATTATTCACTTTTTGTTTTATTGATGTAATATTGTTTAATAATGTTTGAGTAAAAATTTTTTTATTTCATTTTAATTATTTAATGTCATTTTTATTTTTGTCATAAATATAAATTATCACTTAATTGCTGTGGGCAGCTTGTTGACCCATTAAAAAATTTACTACTAAAAAGTAATTCAGTAAATATAATAAAAAAAACCATTGATTGCATAAAGATAGGTTCAATAAATTGTATAATATAAAAAACAAATTAACAGCTCTCAAGTTCATGTAAAGGTAAATTATTTAAATTGATTTTGTATGAGTTTTAGTGAAACTATTGAAGAAATTATAATTTAATGTTGTCATTAAAACGACAACATTAAAACTGCCCTATGTACCACCTAGGAATAAAGGGATTAAATATATATAAATGATTGAAATGATTGTAACGCAATTTGTGTTATTACACATTTATAAATAAAGTCATAGAAAGGTAATAATGATACTTTGATAAAATACCAAAATGATGATTTATACAACCCAAGTCTCTATAAATTATTTCAATTTGATATTTAACATTATTTTAAAAATATCTATATTACTTTAAAGGATTTTGAGCATTTCAATAAAGAATTTCAAATTCGTTCAATTACTTCCTACAACTCCTATTTTCAATAAGCATTCACCATTTCTACGTTATTTGAGGCTTTTCTTGGCGTACTCCACTTTGTTGATTTCAAGTCAACGCTGTATGGGGGAGCTTAACATAGGGTTGAAGTAACGAATGACAAAATCACCATACTCTCCTTAATGTATTTTTGTGCAGATATTGCATTGATTGGTAATTCGTCATAGTTCTTCAATAGATATGTTCTAGGTCACTATACTAGGTGAGTATATAGCAGTAATTACATTAATCTACTTTTTTTGGAGAGTCTTTTCTATCCTAGATATCAACCTAGATACCTCTGATTTGCTCCCCTGAGGGTTACATTGTTGTTGTCTGATATGCATACATGTTTTAAATCAAGATCAAAAAATAAAATGTAATAAGTCTGATCTTACGATCTTGCTTTATTAAACTTATAATCAAATTTAATTTAACATTGACTCTGAGTTCATTCATTAATGTTTTTATTATAAATATAAGTACATTTAAAAGATCACAATAAGTTGTGAACTACATTTTTTCACAACGAAAATAGCAGTTTCGTAAAATATTTTTAGTATTTTACATATTTTTTTCTTTGCATAATTGAGAAGTCAGTGATTGGTAATATGTTTAAAAATAAATATTATTAGAAAATTATCAAAAATTTATTAAGTTGAGGATTGAGAGCAACTAAATTCAATTAAAATTTATTTTAGATACTTTTATTAAATCTTAATGATTAAATTATTCTTAATTTAAACAAACTGAAAGTTGGAGAGTATACATAAACATAGAACTCGATTGGTCTCAATTTAAATAAATTGAGTTATGAGGAAAATATATATATCTCTTTAGAATTATGATATATATGAATGTCTACTTAGACCACTATTGGTCTTAGCATAATTAAGTTAAATTATGATGAACTTAACTTAAACAAATTGAAAATTGGAGTGTATGTATGAATATCTACTTAGAGCGCTATTGGTCTCAACTTAAATAAATTGAGTTATGAGGAATATATATAAGTATCTATTTAGAATTTGATTGAGCTTAACATAAGCAAACTGAATTATGAGGTATATATATCAGTGTCTACTTAGACCATGATTGAACTTAACTTAAATAAATTAAATTATGATGAACTTAACTTAAACGATCTAAAAGTTGGAGAGAATTTATGAGTATCTATTTAAGGCGCGATTGGTCTCAAATTAAATAAATTGAGTTAAGAGCAATATATATAAGTGTCTATTTAGAAATTGATTGGGCTTAACATAAGGAAACTGAATTATAAGGAAGGAATGTATATAAGTGTCTACATAGACCCTGATTGGTTTTAACTTAAATAAACAGAATTATAATGAATACATGTATATGAGTATCTACTTAGAGTTCCCAAAACAAAAGTAAAATATTTTGTATTCCCAATTAGTTGAGAAGCAAACTCACTTATAAGTAAGCGCGAGTATATTCGAAGTTGGAACATACATATATACCAAATATATATTTAAGATATTAATAATATAATAGCTTAATAGTGAAACACTTTTTGAAGTTAAAAATGTTGTACTTTAGAGTTTAACATTTCACATCAATAAAAATGATCTACAGTGTTTAAGTGTTCAGAAATAACAATTAACAACAAAAAGTTAAACGGAAAAAATTCATTTTTTTAAATTTGTTTATTGAACTTTTGAAAGTGTTTACTTTAAACAATTCCTGTATTGTTTTAAATATTCTAATAAACATAAATCTCTGTTAAATCGTTTAAAGGTTAATTACGACTTAGCGACGAGTAGTTATTAACAGCAGTACTCGCTGGATGTCGCCACTAAGCTGAAATGCTTGTACTAGAGGCTAGAGGTAGTAAGCGTAACATTTTCAGCACATAAAAACTATTTCAAAACAAATACGAATGCTTGCAAAAATTTAAAATGGCTTTTTATATTAATAGATTTGAAGTTTAACAGTCTAAGCACACGCCGTTGCACTTTCATGTTTTTTTTTTTGTAGGTTTTACATACATAGTTGCTAAGTGCAACTAATTGGTTACCCGCGCAAAATTGCATTCGCCGACAGACTTTGGTGTTGAGCTTGGAATTTGTGGGCAGTATTTGGCAATGGCGACTGTTAGACTCATGAAAAATTTAAAAATATTTGTCAACAAATTTAATAATTTTTCATTTTTGTCTGATGAATATTGGAAATTTTTGGGGAATCCATGGTTATATGCTTATATACTGGACGCAGAGGCAAAATGTAAGTTGATTGCATATTATCTGCCAAATTATCATGTTTATTATTGGCCATTGTTATAAAATCACTTTCGATTTCTTTTGCAACTCTGAAGCGGACGAAATCTGTTATTTCCTTAAAATGTTGCTCATGGCGTGTATTGACTGGTTTTCTGCTGGTAATACCGGATTTACTTTTTATACATAAACACAGGCATGTTATACCATGTAATGCTATAACATTTACTTGTTTTGTTATTTTTCTTCTCAAATGCAAATAATTGAAACTATTAACAGATAAAAGTGTATGTTTTTGAAAGGAAATAAAAAATTGTTTGAGTTTTGAAGGATACTTTTATTTTGTTGATTTCATTTTGTTGTTGATTAAGTAGGGCAATATGTTGAAAGTGTTGTATATATTTTGTACTACTTTTTTTGTAAAATCTTATCAAACAAGTCTAGTCACGTTTACTTCGAGTTCAGAAATATATCTTAAGCACACGTTTTTCATTTATGTAAAGTATAAATAGTAGTTTAGTTAGAACCAAAAACAATTAATCTAAATTTTTTTGAATTTTTTTTTGGTCATTAAGTAACACAGAAAATACAAACTATTGGATAAAACTAATTTTCAAATAAAATTTAAATAATTTTTATCATTTTGTATCTAAATTAAACAGTTAATTAGAAATTTGTTGGTAAAAAATACTAATGATTTATTATCAACTATAGCAAACGACTGAACAAATCAAAATTTGTTTTAGGTAATATTTATTCAGGTTTTTTTTATTTTAACATTCACCCGACGTTTTGTAAATTTTTGCCAACATGTTCAGCCACCAAAGTTGACTTATTCTAGTCAAATGTTGTAGGTATTAACACAACAATGGATCAGTTCGTAGAATAAGTAAAAGAAAAACAAATGGCCAAAATTGATATTATTCATCAACGAAGTCTTCTTTAAGAGTAACACAATTACTCCAGCGCTTTTCTAACACTTCAATATCATGTTGAATCTTGTGTAAAGATTTTTCTTTGTCTTTTAAACATGATTCAGATTCTCGAAACTTCAGTTTCGGCGTATCCAAAAATTTTTCCTTGGCGTACTTTTTTGAGGTCTGCGAACAGTTAGAAATTTCTGCACACCAGATCTGGCGAATATGGTGGGTGAGGCAGTAGTTGGAAGTGTAAGTTATGCAATTTGCACATAGCAACCAAAAGTGGACTTTGTTGTTCCTTATATGAGACTATTTTTTTCGTTATTTCTTCCTCCAAATGCATCAGTTGGAGTCTGTAGCGATCGCTGTTGATGGTCTGGTCTTTTTTGAAGGTAGTCGGTGTAGAAAATTCGATGGAAAGGTCGACCCAAAAACGAATATCATTACCTTGCCAGTTGTTTGTAGCGTTTTGGGGCGCTTTGAGCGCGGTTCGTCGACTGCTGTCCTTTTAATTGACAGCCTATTGGACTCTGAAGTGAAGTGGTGCATGCAAGTTTCATCCATTGTTATATACTGGGCCATGATATGGTCGACGACAAGTTTTGTCCATTGTTAAATACTGACGTAAAAGCTCTTTTTATTTCGTTTCAGTAGGTATTATGTATTATATATTTTTGCATTCGTTTTTAAATTGGTTATTTTAAGTGACATAGAATAAAGAGTGAAAAAATATAGCAATTTTATGATTGAATTTTTTACTCCAATAATACTTTATCACAATATATTGAGAATTATTCTTTTATATACTAAAAAAATTTCTAATTCACTTGTTAATTCATGCACTTCAACTGCATTGTTAGAATTCTTTGAGTTAGTTCCGGTATTTCAACAAAATTCAAGATAAATATTTAATCTCAAGCGATATTATTAACTCGATTCGATTTGATTTATGTAAGCACTTTCATAAACTGTTGCTAAAGTGCAAGTTTATTCAGTGAGCTCAGCACTGTTTTTCTCGAGTAAATATAAACACTTTTGTTATTAAATAAAATTTTAAAATAAAAATTCAAAATATATACAATTTGGTAAATATTGACTTACCTTTCCATTTGCAAGTGGAATCTGTAGCACATCTAATTCCTTGTTATTGGCTGGCAGAGGAACGGCGGATATGAGTACGGCTGCGCTGCATAAGCATGCCAATGCAAATATGTGTTGCTTCATTGTGTTTGTAAAAGTGTGTGCGTTTGTGTTAGTTGTGGCTTAAAGTGAGTATTTAAATAGTCCAAAATTTCTAGAAAAATGGACGGATACGTATATGCTAACGCTTCGACTTAAGTTTTATGACTAAAAGTATAAACGTTTAACGGTTTCTGAAATGAAACGAAATATAGAAATTTAAAAGTTATTTCTGTTCAAAGTTTATGTATATATATATATATATTCTCTATATTAGAAAAAAATGAATTTATTAAAAACAAAACAAAAATTAAAAACATGTTTCTAAGTTAAGCCTTCAGTAGACGCAATGAAAGCCTCAATTAAAAACCGGCCAATTTTCGAGTGTGTTAAACCCATAAACGTAATTTTAAAAAATAATATAAAAAAAATTTATTTCAAAATCACTTCATATCTAAACTGTCCGGTGTGTGATCTGCCGCATGACCTTGGACCTTAAATGACTCGGCATTTTTCTCTATAACTAACGATAGTTTTAAGATTGTCTTTCGAACTAATAAAACTAAATTGATGTTGTTAAAATAATCAAATCGGTCAAAGTATAAAAAATCTGTCTCTAACACTATATCACTACATCACTACAAATAAACAAAATCAAAAACAGAATAGTTTGTGCGGTCAGGGGTAAACGTTTGGTATTGCAGGTGCCATTTAATTTTTTTCAAACAGATATTATAATAAATTAATATTTTTTATTTGAATGGTTTATCGATTTCATTGAATATATTATTGTCTTCTCTTTAGCAATTTTAAGACTGTGCAAGGTCGTTCATAAATTAGTCAAAAGCACTTGAGGTATTTTTTCCCCTCTATTGACTTGTGTATTAACAAAATTATGCTAATCAGAATTGTCAACAGGCAAGTTCAGGCAATGCGCCTCAGCATTAACACTTCTGTCAAGTACATAAAGCTCGTAATTAACATTAGCGGTACCTGTGTTTTCTGCTGCAGCTTAACAGACCCACAACTTAAACAGTTTCAGACATAAAATTGATTGCTTTCTGGCCAAAATTGTTTGATGTTTACTTGGTGCAAAAATTTTTATGTGAATCAATCATTTATGAGTGTCCATAATAGTCGTATATAATTTTATTGACATTGTTGGGTAAAAAATAAATAAAAATTGTTGAAATGAGTAATTGATTAGATATTGTATTGTTATATAGTTTTTTTTAGAGCTTTTAGGTTGAATTTATTTTACGTTAAGGTAACTGCTCAGGGCTACTGAATGAAAAATTCAATGTATTGTATAGAAGTTAAGACTTCAAAATGATTTCCGTAAGACAGGAAGTAGTATTGTAGTATTGAAATTAATAAAACAAAAATAAAAAAACAATTAAAAAAGAAAATAAAATAAGAAAAAAAAATAAAAAAGTAAAATTAATTTATATATATAATTGTATACATAACAGTGACTAAGTAACTATAAAAACTAACTGTTAACAGTTTTCACTTTAATAAAATTTTTGTGCCGACTTATTTGCTATATTAAAAATTATGTATATAAGTAGGTCAGTTTGAGTTATAGCAACGATTCTAAGGAGCCACTTAGGTCTATTGGCTTATAGTGTTTGCATATAAAAACATAAGTGGTTGCAAAAAACGCCTTAAATCTTTGGTAAAGTAAAAATGTATATAAGTATATTCATAATATATTGACAATATATTAAAAATATACAATATATTAAATATATTAAGCTGAGGTTGCTGGCTGGACACCTCAGGAGAGATATTGACCAGCGTTACTATTTCACTAATGTGTGGGTCTGTCTAATTTGACAGAAAGTTGTGTTTGTGTAGATGAAGAGTTACTTCTGAGTGTATTCTAAGTGGCTACCGGACTTATTTTGCATCAATAATATCACATGTTGACTTTGTTAAGATTTTAAATGTCTGGCTTAATTAATTTAGTAAATAATGTTAGGGATTTTTGTTTGTAGATGTCACACATTAATATATAATTTATTTAAACTTAATTATTATAGAATTTATTAGAAGTAATTAAAATATTTCAAATTAAACTAAAAATATTAAGGCCGTGTGCGAGTTCAAGTGAATTGATGGTAAATTGAGGGAAATAGTAAATTATGTCGGTATGGCAGCGCATGTTGGTATTTACCAGAATTTCGAATTTGATAAAAATTTAGTAAATTATATGTCACTATTTTGAAAATTTTATAAGATATTTGATGAATAAATAAATAAATTTGAAAATTTTAAATTAAAAATAATAAATTAATCCAATAAATAAATATATACATAAATGCAGTGCAAAAAATCCCTAGGAAATATCAATTTACTTTACCTCAATTTACTCAAACTCGCACATGGCCTAAAGATTAATTTTAAGCTATGCTTATTTATCTTTTGTTTACATAAATATAAACTAAATTATGTATATTCCAAATATAGCATGTGTATATAATAAAGAACAAGTAAATTTTTTAAATTAATTTTATGTTATATTTCTAATTTTCCAGAAGCTAAATACCTACTAATATTTTATGAGTGAATCAGGTTTTTTGTTAATTAAAATTCATTCAAAGCAGTAAATAGTCTAAAATAATCTCGAATAATTTAGTCAACTAAAGACAAGTTACATAAAAAATTAATAATATATATATTATTTAAATTTATATATGTGCATATCTATGTATGTACAATGTATCAATGTATGTATCAGTTAAAATAAAAATTCGAAACAAATCTCATCGAAATCATTTAAAATGTGACAAGCAAATTTGTTAATAAAATTTTGAAAATTATGCAAAATCAAAGCCGGACAAGTGTTGCTATTAAATATATTTTTAGCCAATTTGTTTTTTTTCGTTTGTTTTTATTTGTTTTAAAAAATAATTATCAAATATATGATTTCTTAATATTAAATTACAACATTTGTATGCAAGACAATAAAATTACACGTTTCATGACATTTACTAAATGAATCAACACTATCAATGGAATCTATTAACCCTATTATTAATTTTTTATTAGCAACAAATTGTTAATAGAAACAATGGAAAGCAAAAGTGATAACACCACTGCAAGTCTGCTTCTTCTTCTGCGTCTGTTTCTTCGTCTTCATCATTTTTTTGTGTTGTGTTTGTCGGCCCTACTTTTGTGGTTCAATATGTTAACCAATACTTTTGCTTCGTTTATTTTATTTTGATTTGTTTTGTTTTTGCAGCAAGTGTTTTTGCACGTCACGCCATTATCGAGCAACAACAAAAACTGCTGTTGGCAGCGTAATTGTGTTTGCGTTTGCTTTTGCGCAGGCACACCGGCATGACATGACGCTCGATGCCTGAATCCGCTTTTATGTTATGTCATCTGTGAATGTTTGTGCGAGTATGCAACATGTGGCTTATGTTTTTTTTTTGTTTTTCATTTGCTTGTCTTATTGTTATTACTGACGATGATTTTCGTTAACGAAAATATCTCTTTTTTTGTTGCTGCTATTTCATTTACTACTGCATTGCTACTTTTCCCGTAATTCTTTAATTTTATTGTAAATTTGTTATACGAGTGATGTGCAGTTTTTTTTCTTTTTTTTTTGACGGAATTTATTGTTTTCTTTTCTGTTTACATAACAAGCAATAATTATGTTATTCATTATCATAAGTACCACTGTATCACTGTACTAGTATACTAGCAACAATTGAAAGCCTCATTATTAATCAGCAACATTTGTGGCTCAACTACCGCCGTAAACTGTCAACACACAAATGTATATAAACATTTCATTGCAAGTTGATTCTTTGGTATTTGTTGCTTCAATGGTAATTTTTGTGTTATTACAATTGCATTTTAGTGTTCATGTTTATGCTAAAGCTTCGTCGTTTAATGCATTTTTAAATTGCAATAGGATTTTGCGGTTTATTGCGTTTAAAATATGCAAAGTGTTTCCGAAGTACTTATATTTATAGGTAAACGAGCATAAATTCAGTTATGGTAATCGTCTTACTTGGGTTTGTACAATATTACGCGATGTTGCTTCAGGAAGTATTATGAATAAATTAAATTTGTATAATAATTTAAAATATTAGGATGCTAGAGGATACATCACATAAATATGTTCAACTGAATATAATAGATGAATTGATATGAATCAATGCGATTTATAGAAAGATGCTAGAGAATATAGAATAGAAATAAACAGAGTAGCGGCTCCTAAAGGAGCGGAACATCGCGACCATAATTGATCTTTTGTGCCAGAGAACATAGTTCGTACGAAATTTAGGAAAGCTGAATAAGATTGACCAATATGAATCGATGAGGTTTGTAGGAGGGATTGGCATTTAAAACAGAAATAGAAAATTTTCAACAGCACTTAAGTAATTTAGCCATCGATTTTTGAACTTCCGAAGGAAAAGGAACATATTTAATAAGAAAATGATCTGATCCTGAAATAGTCTTTTTACCCAGTGAACGGGTTAAAATTAATTAATATATATCTTTAAATGACAGACTGTAGATGGAAGAGTTCTATTTTGGCCACCTAATATTCAATAGACCAGAGAACAGTAATAACTGCTGTCAGTCTAAAAAAAATTCTCTGTAGTGTTGCTCAACAGCGTTATTATTAATTATTTATTAATTATTTATTATTATATTCAAGATATAATATTTCCGTCGCATCACAAAAAGACGAGATATGATCTAAATATATTCAATAAGTAAAAGATAAAATTGCTAGACAAACTCATCACGGTTGTTTCAAGACTGATAACAGTTATTACTGGTTTTTAGCTATGGATTCTCAGCTGTGATTCTCAATGATATTAAACTTTATGCTCTTTATGCTTATATCTAATTTAATTTTATAATTTGCCAAAATTAGTTTCTAAATTAAAAAAAAAGTCTTAGTGATCAATTGAGCTAATCTATTGCAATTATTTTTTCAAATGTTCTACTTTTTAACTCTAGAAATTATTTGAAATTAATTGTCTTAATTGAAGGTGAAGCCGTTACGCTAGGGTGAACTTTTAACTATTTTAATGCACATTATATTTATACATACAATAAATAGTCAATATAAAATAGAGATAAGTTTTAGATTATTTTGTTCTCACAAATTAAAGTATCATGCTTATAATAATATATACTTCACAAAACAATTAAAAATTTATTTAAAAAATATCAGTTGAGCTACTGATATATTTTGCATAATAGATCTTTTAGGTCGCAGTGTATTATCCCTTTTCCATAATACTGATATATTTCGGTAAGTCATCAGCATTAGTCCGAACCATACATTGAAAATATGTACAAAAAGAAAACTTTATATCAAAGTAAAGACAAGGGCTGGGCTATATTGCTTAGCTTTAAGAATGATATATTATACATTTTATATATTAAGTAGGTGTATATAATGCATATATATGCATAATGAATATTTT